TGCTGTTGCCTGGGCAGATTTCATCCACAGACAACTTAAGCTGGGTGACAGATAAAAGGTTTCAGACATTTTAGCTGATTTGAAGGACAAGCTCACTGCAAGGTTCTTCCTTCTGACCGATTCTCTAATTTTGATCAGCTGCAATGAGTTCATGTTTAAATTCCTTATTCACTGTCAACCAAAAGACTTGCACATGAATTCTTATTGTAACCTTTGCTGACATAATTACAATATCCTTTTTATTTGAGTTTCTTTTTTGCCTCTCATGAAATAGAAACTTGGTCTTATAAATGAGATACATGAAATGAGGGGAAAAAATTAATAATTTTGAATGACATACACTTTAACACGATTCACAGTCTTGTCATTAATAAAATGGTCATAGGGAAAATATGCAAGAAGAACATGAAGTAAAGACTCCATTGACTCACTGTGTTGGCTGCTACCAGCAGTGCCCTGATGACGGTGTAAATGTGATTCATGCTGAGGGGAAAACCTTGCACTGCTATGCATTGAGGACACCCACAATGCAAAGAATGTTTAAAAGTCTCTTATGTATAGTGATATGCAATTTGCATGAGGTAATTATGTCTTCATTGCTAAGCCCTGTTGTTGCCTGGCAATGCTGCGGCCCATCGGGTTTAAATATAAATCTTCCATCCCAGGTTTCCCAACCCGGAAACTCTCAACTGTGAAGCTATTCTCGGAGAGCACATCCAGCAGTGTGACACAACATAAGAATACAGCACCTGCACTCAACTTAACAAAGAAAAGCATGACATCTTGTAGCACACAGCAAAATATTTCACTTATTTTACTGAAATCTGAGCAAGAACGAATTTGACGTTGTAGGTGAAACCCAACGCGCACACATAGATAGTGGCAAAGCAATTCCATGGAGTCTTGCCTTAACCTCTGCACGCTGTACTTCAACCCTTACATTAGTCTTACTGTATTTCTACTTCTAAGCCTCTCCCTTTCTAGCACATCAACACGCAAACAGAGAAAGTGGAAAGTGGTGAAAACTGGCTGAGAGCCAGTGCTGATTTGCATTGCTGCCAATATGTGACCTATCTATCACTTGGTCATATAAACTGGACACAGTACAGTCATTATTTTGATTAAAAAAAGTAGCCAGGGGCAACCACTGCAACATAACTGAAAGGCTTACAGTGGCTTCTCCAAAACAGCAGGAGGCACCTGCTTTACTGAGTAATTTATTGGGGTGAAGTGCCTATGACTGGATTTCTGCTGGATGCCAACAGTGTAACATGCTCTTGCGGTGCAAAGAGTCTATGCCTGCCAATATAGATCCCCTAGTAAGCTCCACACATGTGAGACTAGTCACCATAAGATCCCTCGCTGCAGATGTATTTGAGATTAACTCATCGTTTTTCCAGCAAGTGAAGCATCTGAGTTTATATTGGGAATTACTGCTGTACATTCAAGTTATTTTTTTTTATTTTTATTTTTTACAGAGTAGCTTCAACATGTTTTAGACATGACGGCATGTCAAACTAAAAAAAGAACTGCTCACTGAGGTAGCTCTAGTCCTTTGACTAGTGCAACTGACACTTTTTATTTTCTTGCTTTGATATATTTTTTTTTTCTGGTCCACATGTTCAGGGTATTTCTAGTTTGAAGCTACTTCTTCTTCTGTTTTGTACCTTTAAAACTGAGCCTGCCTGTGCTTACATTGGTCCGACCATTAACTCAAGTACAGTATTATACGCCTTAAATTTTAGCTTTGTCTTAAGTCATCATCAAGATAAAAAAATGAAACATATTTTCACCTTTCATTTCTTTCAAACACCACTCTGTTCTCAGTAGTGGGGCGTTGGTTCCGTCTCAAATAGCTCTACATGCCAGTATTTATAGGGCTTATATTTTCATTTACAACCAGGAGTCTTTATATAGATTTTATTGGGCGATCACGTATGCCTGTGGAATGGAAGAAATTGCTACCTGCCCCAAGTTTTCCATGAAAGTCACAGGTTCTAGTCTGAACAGAAGGTGCACAGAAGCTTTTGAGGACAGGAGAGCTTTTGTTGAATACTTTGTAAACATCACAGCCTTTCTGAAGTTTTCGGAATGAGTGATTCTGAGATATATGTCAATTTTGCTATTCTCTCTGCAGAGATGAGGTTAGTAGATTGCTGCGACAGCCTTTCAGGTGAATTTCACACATCTTTACCAAACCTCCCTTCAGGATGTGGGGAATGCAACACACCAAGTAGTAGATTAGCACATTACTGTGAAGCTTTACTTATGTCAATAGCGATTTCAATATATTCATTTGAATCTGTTATGACTAAAGGTATGCTATAAAATTATTTAAAAAAAACATCTCTTCCACATTTCACCTGGTAAATGAGGACTTTGAAGTTCCGTCTCTTGAGCAGCTCGTGCTCGTTGCTCTCCAGCTTCTTGATCTGGCCCGCCTGCTTTTCCAGGTTACTGCGGACCGTCTTGACGTTGACGCTGACTTTGCGCACCTTGTCCAACATTTTATTGACTGTCTTGGCAGTGTCGACGTGGTTCTTGGACAGCTTCGCCAGCTCCCCTTGGATGGTTGACACAGACTTCTCCATGGCCTCCTGCCGAGCCTCGAGTCCATTCTGGGTCTGCTGGATCTTGTCTACCACCCCTATGATCTTGTCAAGCAGAGACAGAACCATGACCCCATTCATCTGAGCTTCACTCTTGCCTCCAGCATCCAGCACCAGGTCCACTTCTTCAGCTGGGTCATCGTCATCTTCTGCTGGCTCTGTCGCAGCACTAACAAGAGCAACCTCTTCATCATCATAGGGTACATCAGCATGGGGTACATGTTCCTTTTTGACTCCTGTGTCTGCCATACCTATGAACTAAATATACTACCTCTTTACCAAAATAAGCTATTCAGATAAGCCCTTGTCTGTTTTTCTTTCTTTTAGACAACTTCCTAACCTACTTTTTTACCTCTTTAGATTCCTTTCAGTCAATCCTCTCTACCTCTCTCTGCCTTTGCTCTGGGATGCCAGCCAGCCAAGGGGAGTGGGGTCTCTCACAGCTGAAGCATGTGTGCCCTGACTCAAATGCCTCTGCTCACTGCAAAACCACCCAGCCAAACATTTCCCTTCATGCACCCAGCCTCCACCCAGTGCCAGCCTGCTGCTGCAGCTCCACCCATTTCTGTGCCGAAGCAGAATGTCTGCAGACCCCCTCCTCTTAGTGGCATAACACTCCCAAATAAAACGGCAAGGTGAGGCTCTCTAATGGAAACATTACAGAAAATATCTAGAACATGCCAGCTTGATGAAGCTCCAAAAGCAACAGCTGTTCATCTGTCTATCTGTCTGTCTATTATTTTAAACTGGGTTCAGTTTACTTCAATGTTTGTGTACACTTTAAATAAAATAGTGTGTTTGGTGTTATTAACATCATGGTTTTGGCATATTATTTTGAGATCAAGAGCTGGATAAAACATATCTGCAAATAAATATCTCATAAAATGGCTTGTTGTGAGCTTACAGTAACATTTAGCGCATTCACAGTTTTCCTCAGTTGTCTTGGTACATTTCTCAAATCATTTTTGACATTTTCCAAATGATAATTGCATTTCTGAAAACAGTTCATACAAACAGCAAAACACTGTTGATTACCTTCAAAACTCAGTTTCTTTCTCCAAATCCTTAGTTCATCTCTCAAAATTAAATAGCTTGTCAGTGCCTCAGAATGACAAATTCTTGTTTCATTGTGTATGAATGAGACGGTTTGATTGTTAGATGTTTTGAATGTTGTGGAGGGTGCAGCAATTCAACAGACACTTATATAATACACTTTGATCAACATGAAATAAGCAATTAAAAATTTAGAAAAAAGCAGAGAATTGTACATAATCACTTGATGTGCAAAAAGATGTGTAACTTGTTCAAAAGAATATGAAATTGCTTTTTTGATGAGCACAAGTGACAGAACGATTTGATGATTGAACGTGTGTTTTGAGAATTTCAAGTCTGCTTTGAGAAATGCCCCAAAGCATCTGAGAGCAACTGCATTGTTGTTTTGTGATCATGAATCATACAAGTAAAAAACATCTGCAAATATGTCTCAGACAAAATAATTGATGAGCTTGATACAGTAACATCAATTGTGCAACTGTTGCTTTAAACAACAATAGTCATACATTATTTTTACAAACAGGAATGTCAGTTGCTTCGTGTATTTAATAAAATGATTACAACTTTTTTTTTCTAGAAGTATGGGCTCTTCGATGCCACATAGGGGTCAAAATATACTTCCGTCAAATGTAAGTTAGTGACCAAGAAGAACATTGTGAATTCCGGAAAATATTTTCAAAATAAGGGAAACTAACTTAACTGACAATTATTTGTAAATTAAATTCGCCGTCATGTCAGTGACATTATATGGTTTTAAATGTTAGCAATAAATCCAATGCAGTATTTAAACTTTTGAACTTTTGGATATGAGAAAGAAGTTTAAAGATGCTGTGTTTGAAGTTTTACGAAAGTTTTGGAGGTCACAGTCATATAGTAGGGAAATCGGTATTATAGTCAAGACCTCCCAATTTATAGCTGAAACATTCAAAACACGTAAATATTTAAATATAAGGTAGAAAATATTAAAGCTGTTCACTAGAGAGTAGTATAGAGAGATGTTAAAGCCCTTGAGGTTTTTTGTTTTGTTTTTCATATTTTTTGCAGCACCACAATTGTAGATGTTTGTATTGTGATTGGCCAAAGAAAATACTGCAATTATAACGCAGAAGTTGCTCCATGTTCTTTTTTTCGACCCAAAGGATGTCTTTGTGATAAACTACTCAAAACAAAATGTGCGACACCGTAATTTTCCGTAAGGTTTTTCAAAATAAAAGCTAAACTAAGAGACGTCTCGAGGCATTACTTTTGGACCAATGGAGCCTACAGTTCGTGGTCACGTGACTTGTGAACGCGTCAATCGATACTCGTTACCAGGAGGATCCTTCCGCCTTGGTGAGTTGCGTTTACTCCTTCTTTCCTCGGAGCACTCTACAAACAACCGAGAGGAAATTGAACGGGGAAGCAAAGAGGAGAAAGGATACAGTCCATACTTTAATAGTAAGAAAACTGACCAATGTGACTATAAGAGGTTTGAACCTAATCTAATGTAGTGTTGACGTGCTACGGTGGCAAAAGTTGCTAAATGTTGCTCAACAGGTGGGCTAAATAGTCAATAGTTTTAACAGAGTTAGCTAGTTTTAATTGATATTTAAAGTGTTATAGGTACTTAAGTGAAGTACACGACACAGTTAACATTAGCTTGAGTGAAACTGATGTTTACTTTTCGGTTTAGCAAAGACGGATAAGGCTAGTGGAGCCGAGCTGTCGATTTTAGCTGTGGCTAATTGGCTAATAAAATTAGCTTTAGGTTTACTCTGTTGACGTTAGTTAAATAGCTTTGTTTGTGGAAGTCGCTGTAAAAAAATGGCATGTCAGTTTAGTTTGTTGGGTAGTCCTTGTTGGGTCACGGCTATTCGGGGGTTGAGAAATTGGGACAACGTCCTAATATTTTTCAGTACTTATTGAGTAAATAAAAAAAAAAAAAACGAGGCATTATTCAGGTAACTATGTAGAAAAGAAAGAGTTGACGGGTTTATATCGCGTTGATGGGGCTGCTGTTGAGTCTTGAACAAGTCAGCTGACTCATTGTAATCCCCGGATTAGCACTGTGTGGTCCTTATGCATTTTAGCTTCACGGTATTCAAATAATCCTGATATTTAAAGTGGATTTTGTGTAAGAAGCTGCACAAAATTGCTAAATTTAACAATAAATTTAGCAAGAGCCAATCAGTAAGTGCTAACACATTTCACTTCAACCAGATTCTTTGAGCCTTTTTAATGTTTTGTCACATGTCCACGAACAGTGTTGTTATGGGTATATGATTTGGGTGCAGCACAACAGTGTAAAAGTGACACTCGACTGTTTACGGACCTCCGCCATTAGGGATGGAGTGCAGAAATGCTATGAATGGCTGATCTGTTAAATTATTTCAGTTAATATCCACAGTCAATAATGAATGCTCTCTTTCCATAGATCTTGATTGAGTTTAGAGTGCTGGGCACTCCCAGCCATCAACATCATGGGGGAACTCTTTAGAAGTGAAGAGATGACCTTGGCCCAGCTCTTCCTCCAATCAGAAGCTGCCTACTGCTGTGTCAGTGAACTGGGAGAGATTGGGATGGTGCAGTTCCGTGATGTAAGTACACAATACTTTTTGTCTTTGGATTTTCCTATCTGAAAGTGTAGTTTTCAATGTTGCAGAAAAACTAGTCATCTTTGTTTAGGTGAAACTTTGGCTACATTAGTAGTGCTATTTAGATGATAGATGACCTTTGGGTCATGTGCTCACAGCTGACTATTCGTTCCAGGCATGATAAAACCCTTTTCTCACTAGTCTCAAGGCAGTCTGTTGTCTGTGAATATAGGATGAGTGTAACAGAAAAATCCTCTGCAACAGCTTGAGACCTTATCAGGCTTTAACACCTTCCAGCAGTTGTAAAAAATTAATAGCTCAATCAAGCTAGTTTGTTTGTCACTGAACTCTGTTCTTCTTTTTTTGTTGTTTTGAAGCTCAATCCTGATGTAAACGTCTTCCAGAGAAAGTTTGTTAATGAAGTGCGGCGATGTGAGGAGATGGATCGCAAACTGAGTGAGCTTTTCTTCTTGTACAATAAACTTTTTAGAAATTCAGGAGCAATTGATTTTGTCAGTTTTAACATTAAAAACACTGTTTGACATGCTTTAAACCTTCTGCTTTTTGTGAAATTCCATTGTTTTTAAGTTTGCTTATTCGGCTTTCACAATTGTTTGACAGGATTTGTTGAAAAAGAAATCAAGAAGGCCAACATTCCGATAATGGACACAGGAGAAAACCCTGAAGTTCCTTTTCCAAGGGACATGATTGATCTGGAGGTAATTGCTTTCTTCTGTTTTTAGAAGCCATCACACAGCGAGACTTTATTTTTTATGTTTGTTTTTCAATTAATCATGTGATTAATGTTGGAGTCCAATGCATTTCATTAGCTGAAGTCATAAAACAATAAAGATGGCTACTAGAACACAGTAAGTGGAGGATGAGTTTCATAAGTTTATTGCAAGATTTATAAAAAATACTAAAATCATGCTTTGAATACAGAGTAAGTATACGACACAGGTTGAGTCACTTAATAAAATAATTGCGCTTTTGATTATTAGTACTAGTTTTTTAAAATATTTTTCATGTTTAAAAATTGCCTTCAAAATATAGTTATGAACTGCAGAGTTCTTACAAATGAAGGTCTGGATCCTTACGCTCTCTTTTTACATTGTCCCTTACAGGCTACATTTGAGAAGCTCGAGAATGAGCTGAAGGAAATAAACACCAACCAGGAGGCCCTGAAGAAGAACTTCCTGGAATTGACTGAACTCAAGCACATTTTGCACCGTACTCAGCAGTTTTTCAATGAGGTCAGTTTTATTTCTGTTACAGACCTTTGAAGTGTTGTTTTTTTGCTTCTTGGTTTTCAGCATTACGTTTTTATTAAGAAACAGATGGTTGTGAATTTGGTAGTTGTTTCTGTGGAAGATTGCAACACCTTAAATTAAATCTACATGTAGCTTCAATTGCTCATGTTTTATTTATATAGTACCTCAAATACTCAAAAACTAAGACATGATAAAATCAGTATTTTAACTACATCAATATATTAATAAGTTGTGTTCCCTAATTGACTTATTCATGCTTTTTGACTGTACCACATTTCACAGCTGTCAGCACTGCTCTCATAAAAAATCACTTATTTCTCCTCTATATTAACAAAAGGTGTTTTCAGTCATAAGCTTTCATAGTTTTTCACATGACTGCAGCGTCTAGCCTAGTCAGTCATTATAGTAAATGCACTGTTTGGTGTGTCAACCCAGTGGTATTAAATGCCAGATTCTGTATGTGCTTAAGCAACCTTTGGCCAACGTTATTTCCACTTCACTGCCTTGACAAGCAAAATTGTGTCAACTGACAGCGCAGAGGGATCTTTTACAACTTCTTTAGATGAATCATTGACATAAATCAGAGCTCATAACAAGTAGATGGTCAGCTGCTAATTGAATAGAAACTCCTCTGACTAAGTTTCTTTTAATAAGGTTTTTTATAAAAGTGGGATCTAATAAATGTGTGCACATTAAATCAAATCTGGGAGTCAGTATGATGACTTAATGTGTAATGTGGTTTGTTTTTCTGTTCAACAGATGGAAGATCCCAGTTTGCTTGAAGAGTCCTCCATACTCCTGGATCCCAATGAGCCAGCCAGAGTAGCTCCTCTCAGACTTGGGTGAGTCAGATTTCTACACTTGTGTAATTTAAAAGGATTAAGATGTTTTCTCCGTCTCATTTTGAGGATTTTCAGCTTTGCTTTTTGGGTCGCAAACACCCCCCACACATTACGTTTTTAAGCTCTTTTTCAGACAGGAGGGATGATCCTCTAAAGCAAAAAAATCACTCTAAATAGCAAATTCCACTCATTTATATCTATTTTAAGCATAGGAAAAGAATTAAATAAAAATCAAATGGAGAAAAATGAAACTGAACATTGTTTTTCAATGTGTGTGCTGCAGATTTGTTGCTGGAGTCATAGGCAGAGAACGTATTCCCACATTTGAGAGGATGTTGTGGAGAGTTTGCAGAGGAAACGTGTTCCTGCGGCAGGCAGATATAGAAGATCCCCTAGAGGATCCCACCTCAGTCAGTGCTGTTCATAAACAGTTTTATCAGATGTTTAGAGTTTTACTCTGATTTCTAACCTAGCAATGTTTTCTCAGGGTGACCAGGTCCACAAGTCCGTCTTCATCATATTTTTTCAGGGAGACCAGCTGAAGAATAGAGTTAAGAAAATCTGTGAGGGGTAAGTGACTCAGCATCGCAACAATGTGAGGGATGACCTTTTCATAACTAATAGATTTCTTTTGCTTTTTAATTCGTCCTTAGATTCAGAGCAACATTATACCCATGTCCAGAAACCCCCCAGGAGAGAAAAGAGATGCTTGCAGGAGTGAATGCTCGCATTGATGACCTGCAAATGGTGAATAAACCTTCAGAAAAATAGACTTTTTTTGCTGTAGTGACTGTTTTTGTTTCTATTTCTGTTCAGATTTTAAATTTCTTTATATTCTAGCTAGCTATCTGATATTACTAAACCTTCTTTCTTTGTACTAACTGATAACTACTAAATTTGTCCACTAGAAGCACATTTTGTTGTATAGGTTGCTCCTCCTAAGTAAAGTAGCCTGGGACAATCTATCATTTTTCTTTACTGAATAAAGATTAATCACTCTTTTTTTTTTTTTACATTCATTACAATATTTTTTGACATAAGTCTTAGCAGATAGTCTGATTATTTACTTTAAGAATAACATGATCACAATATGGAATAACAGAATTCCAGCATGACATAAAATATTGGGAAAAGCTCAACACCTGCTGGGAAACTTTGTGGATGGACTGATATTCTTCTTAGTACATGTGAGCAGAAGTTATTTAGAGTGCTGTCTGCAGAATGAGACATTGCCTCGACAGCAAGTGTGCGCACAGTGCTTGAATGTCCTGCTATTTGCTGATCAGGGCTTAGTGTTGAATGTGATTCATACGGCAGCACACATGAGGGTATTTTTGATATCTATTATGGAAACATCCAGTGGATGAGATAGCTGGTTAATTGTAAGCACAACTCGATGTTGGTGTTTTATCCTGTTTGGAGCAAAATCCAAGTTTTTCAGGGTAAAAGGGGAAATCTTCCTTAGGGAGGGACCAAGGATGCATCTTGATCTTAGCCATCTCACCTCACCAGTGATATGAAAAAAATTTAATAATTAGTTTTTTGTTCATTTTGTTTTGCAATGGACATATGCTTTGCAGAAATGAGCAAGCGAATTTACGAATTCACTTCATGCAAATGGATGTTTCCTAATATAACAAGTTTGCTTTAAATTCAGTAGTTGCAGAAAGTTGTAATGAAAACTTTTTTATGATAAAATACTCAATATTCATTTGTGGGTTTCAACAAAGCAAGCTGTGGTATACCTTTACATGTCTTTTAAGCTTCCTGTAGCTCATATGTCTAAGTATATAATTAGAGTCGATACACTCATGTGGGAAATGTCTGTTGCTCATAAAGGTTCTGAACCAGACTGAAGATCACAGGCAGAGGGTCCTGCAGGCTGCAGCCAAGACCGTCAGAGTGTGGTTCATTAAGGTGAGGAAGATGAAGGCCATCTACCACACCCTCAACCTCTGCAACATTGATGTCACACAGAAGTGTCTGATTGCCGAGGTGTGGTGTCCTGTGTCTGACATGGACTCCATCCAGTTTGCACTTCGAAGAGGAACGGTGAGTAAACTTGAGGGTTGGGGGTATTTCTGCATTCTGCTGTATATTTTTAAACTAGAGTGAAAGCGTTTGTCTTGGGTTTTGTTTTCCTTAGGAGAAGAGTGGCTCCACCGTGCCTTCCATTCTCAATCGAATGCAAACCAAACAGACCCCACCCACGTATAACAAGACAAACAAGTTCACCTCTGGATTCCAGAACATTGTGGATGCTTATGGGATTGGCAGCTACCGTGAAATAAACCCAGGTTCTGATGGTTTCTCACACTTTCTGTCCTCATTTATTTTTGGTTATCCATTCTCACCTTGTTGGCACATGCTCATTGACATGTTTCACTCGTTTCATGTACAACCACATTCGTCACCCCCGTCCTCTTCGTTTGATGCCTCCCTTCATGTCTTCAGCGCCATACACCATTATTACCTTCCCCTTCCTATTTGCTGTCATGTTTGGTGACTTGGGCCATGGGACACTCATGACCTGCGCTGCTCTCTACCTTGTGATAAGAGAAAGCAGGCTGATGGCCCAGAAGAATGATAATGAGGTATGGATTGTTTCGCCTTCACCTCATCAATCCCAGTCTACTGAGCCACAGAGAATCTGTAGTATTTTACTAAACCTGATCACTTGAGTCAACATGCTTGTTTTAAATCCTCCTTTTTTTTCCTTGAATTGATTCCTCATTTTTTGTTGCAGATATTCAACATGGTGTTTGCAGGACGCTATATTATACTGCTGATGGGAATATTCTCAATGTACACTGGTGTTATTTACAACGACTGCTTCTCAAAGTCTCTGAATTTCTTTGGCTCTGGATGGAGCGTGAGACCCATGTTTAAAGGAGGCAACTGGACGTAAGTGTCACAGATAAAAATGTACTCAGCATTGCATTAAAAGTAACATCACTGATGTGCATTTACTGTTTTCCAGCTGATGCTAGGAGCCAAAACTGGAATTCTTTAGAACGACAAAGAAAATATTTATTAGACTGCTGTTGTGTCACTGTTTTTTTTTTTTGATCCAGTTGAAGTAAACTAAACGGATCTGTGTTTCTTGTCTTTTCTTTAGACCTGACACACTTGAAGGCAACACAGCCTTGCAGTTGGATCCTGCAGTGGAGGGAGTTTTTAAAGGGCCATACCCAATTGGAATTGATCCAGTAAATCTTTTGGATTTATTTAACAATTTCTTTTATTTGTTTGTTTTCTTTTGATCTTTTTAATGCTGCTTCTTTAAAATGAACTTTTCCTACTTTAACTAGGTTTATATACTTGAGATGCACCAGTTAACTGGCCAAAGTTTTCCCTTCTGTCTGATCAGGCAGAATTACCACAATTATTAGGCTACAAATGCATCATCATTATATACTTGATGTACATTTTTGAAGTTGTATGGAAATATGGAAAGATACAACTACAAAAAAGAAGTATTTTTGTTTATTGAATGGCTTTGGAAATCGTCACAAATTGTTAATTTTTAAGTCATCATCTGTTTCAGCATAAACTAAAAGAACAAATTATTAATATTAAGTAATGAGAGTTATTTTCATGATTCCTATGACCTAAGTGCACAATTCTCTAAAGCAACGTGGGACATTTTCTAAAATTGCAATACATTGCTACTCCACAATAATTTGCATTACTATTTTAGAGTGGAAATAGGTTTCAGCACAAGCATAAAGTAATGCAAATCAGGTTTACGATGCAGTTCTCAGTCTTTTTTCCATCTGGTAAAAAATTTTTAATAGCTGTTTCTGCACATACTGCCTGATCAGCCACATGCAATGTCAAACTTATTGAATTTTATGCCTTTTATATTTTTTGATGTCATTTTCTGGTCCTCAAGAATATAAATATAATGTGATTGGTTTTTTTTACGTTTTATTGGTCTGTCAAATCTGCAACTCATTTTGTCACCTGATTGGTAGATCTCTAATCATTACAAAATTTAATCTGCTACACTTGGTTCTACAACTATTTTTTTTTGTATTTTTCTCAGATATGGAGTATTTCTGTCAACAAGTTGACATTTTTGAACTCCTTCAAGATGAAGATGTCTGTTATCTTAGGAGTCATCCACATGCTATTTGGAGTCACTCTAAGTCTCTTCAATCATCTGTGAGTTGAAGTCTTTGTTTGGTTTCTGTTTCGTCAGATTAAAGAACAAACTGATGGAATGATGTGCATTTTTGCAGGTATTTCAAAAAGCCACTGAACATCTACTTGGGATTCATTCCAGAGATTGTCTTCATGTCCAGTCTGTTTGGCTACTTGGTCATTCTGATTTTCTACAAATGGGTGTCTTATGACGCCCGCACCTCCAGAGATGCTCCCAGTCTCCTCATTGCCTTCATTAACATGTTTCTCTTCAGCTACAATGACCCCAGTACCAAACCTCTTTACAGGGGGCAGGTTAGACCTACTATGTAAAAATTATGACTTTTAGATTAGGGTTAAGCATAGGAAGCTGATTTTTTTTTCTGGTTTTCTCTGTTGTCTCTGTAGATGGGGCTGCAAACATTCTTGGTCATAATTGCCTTAGCATGTGTTCCATGCATGTTGGTCGTGAAAACTCTGGTTTTACGGAGACAGTATTTGTGGCAAAAACATCTGGTAAGATCAAACTGTCTTGGAGTTGAGGATCATCTATCCTTGGGCTGAAATGATTAATTGTGGTAATTGTTAATTTGAATGAACAGACTCAAAAAGACCATTTGTTGAAAGAACAATACACTTGGAGAAAAACTGTACATATATAGTTTTAGCTTTACCCGGTTCAAATTCTTAAAAAAAAAAAAAAAAAAAAAAAAAAAATATATAATATATATATATATATATATATATATATATATATACAATATCATGCAAACTTGGCTATACAGATATTGATACCCAGACTTGAATGAAAAATCTGCTGTATGTGCCCATTTTTTTGTGATTAATCTTTAATAATAATTAGTTGCAGGCCTAATTTATTCCTTTTTAACTCCTTGTTCTTCAGGGCACACAGAACTTTGGAGGAGTCCGAGTGGGCAACGGTCCCACCGAGGACGAGGCGGAAATCATCCAGCACGACCAGCTCGCACAGCAGTCTGAGGATGAACCAGAGGTAAGTTAAATGTCGTTCCAACGACAATTCATATTTATATTTGAAATGATTTCGTATGGATTTCTTACAATGCAGAAGGAACAGCAGTTCAGCAGTTTGTTGAGAGAGGAGATGGCAGTAAAATGATCCCCTCACACGTTTGAATAATTCAGCCACTCAGCCATAGCTGGAACCTAATCTCATGTTTCCACTTCCACTGTGGTAAAACTAAACATCAATTATGGATAAGGGTGGATTGTTGTTCCTTCTTTTCATATTTTTCTTGATGCTTATGTCATTTTATTTCTATGCTTGCAACTTTCTGTGACATGCTGTTCAGTCATCCTGCTGCTCTTATAGCCTAGTTATCTATTTAAATTTAAACAGATAACCTAGTTTTGCGTGTTTGTGTGTGGGCAGGATGCTGAAATGCCCAAATGTGTAATGGTTTTCTTCTACTTTTCTTGATGTTTGTCTCTTGATGTGTTTTCAATAACCAAGAGTTCCCTTTTGTTACCTGCTTTCAAGGCCCCTGAGGAGGAAGAGGTAGGACCGGAGTTAATGCTGCACCTTTTTCACTTCCTGCAAAACATGCATGTCTCGGGTTTTCTTTTCTCACTGCAACTCGCCTCGTCGGCTTTTACCCTTAGGTTTGTTGGTTGTGGGTATGTTTGGATATGCCGGTGCGTTGTAGGTGTTTCATCAGACGTGGGTCATCAGTAGATCAATGCTTCCCTGAGGTCTCGGTGACGTGCATGACGCATCAGTAGAGCAGCTGATACTTTGGGTTCACAGGGTCCAAAGAGGACAATTCCTCTACTAATTTGGAGGTTGCTTCATTTATAACAACAGCTCCCCTGTTAGTTACTCTAACGATCATGCACGTACAGTGGGCCAGATTCTTTCTTTTGTGGGCTGCAGGACTTGTAGACATTCTGCTTCAACTGTCTTGCTCACCTGTTTGTTTGTGTTTCCACAGTTTAACTTTGCAGATATGGCTGTGCATCAGGCCATTCACACCATTGAGTACTGCCTTGGTTGCATCTCTAACACTGCTTCCTATCTGCGGCTCTGGGCCCTCAGTCTCGCTCATGCCCGTAAGTAACAACACAACACACATACACATTTTTAGAAACATGTTGTTAAACCCATAAACAGGCATTTTTGATTATTTCTTTTTAAATGTCTTGCATGTTTTTATGAACAGAGCTGTCAGAGGTGCTTTGGTCCATGGTGATGCGCCTCGGCCTTTCATCTCGAAACTTTGGCGGTTTCATCCTTCTGGCCATCATCTTTTACTTTTTTGCTGTTCTGTCAGTTGCCATTCTGCTCATTATGGAAGGACTGTCTGCCTTTCTGCATGCACTTCGACTGCACTGGTAAGTTTTCTATCCATCGATGTTCTGTGTAACAATTTACCCAGTACTGCTAATGCTTTGACATTCGTGAATACTACAACATTTATATTCTGTTTCATTGTGACATCAATCACTTATTAAATAAATGAATACATCATTTATTTTTTGACTCCTTCATTTTCACGTTGAATGTAAATTAATTTCAGAACGATGGCTCCACCTGGTGGCTACTGAGTTCCTTCTGCAGAGACAAATTCATAATGTGTCTTGCTAAATTATGTCATAAGTAAAGCTGCGTTCCATTTCTGTCAGAAGTTTGAACTCGGAAGATAAAACCGAGTCAACAACTTTCAAATTAACAGGATTCTAATACGGCAGCACCCACTTTTATTGGTTTTGTTTATAAATGCAGATGTTCCATGTAACACTGATTTTTAGATTCACTTGTACAAATGTGTGTTGTAAAATAAAACTGTTTTCACTACATCTTACTATTGTTGATGCGAGAAGCTGCCATAGTTGATCTCTGGCTCTCGGCTGGAAGTCAAAACTCAAAGCGGCATTCCAGAGGATTTTTGTCCAACTCAGAAGTCATCATTTCTAAGTTGGAACGCAGATAGAAAAAAATTGTTAGTGCATTAGGCAGAAAATCTGAATAGTTATTTATGGAACAACTGCTGTAAAAGGTATTGTTTTCTGCAGGTACGTCATTTCTTGGAATCCTATCACTGTTTCAGGATTGATTTCCCTTGTAGGGAATTTGTTTGGGTTATCTTACCAGACAATGAGGTCAAAGCAGAAAAATAACATTTTGTTCCTTAGAAAAAGCCTGAATCTATTTAGATGTTAGATATGTAGTCAAAGAGTGAATGTTGTGCTCCCCAGAAAATCTGACCCATATTTTAAAAATGTTTTAAATGTTCATCTACTTTCTTTTTATTTTTATTTATTTATTTTTTTTTTTACAACAGTCAGACTTAGGAATGATGGGTATTCCTGACTCCTTAGCTTAAAGGTCATCCAGCTGTCGTTTCAGACTGGACGTTTAAAAATAGCTCCTGATCATTTTCCTGAAGCGAGGAGTATTGGGTGTCTCTGGCTCCAGAGCCAGATTCATGATATAAACAAGACAGACTGCAGGTTGGAATCAGGAGCAGGGGTCACGGGCTTTGACTGCTCCATTCAGTTTTGCTCCAGCTGCTATCCATCACCACTGTATTCCTGACAAGGTTATTATCTGAAACGCTTCTTGCTTAATGGTTTTTCACTGTATCTCCTATTTCCTCCCACAGGGTTGAGTTCCAGAACAAATTCTACGCAGGTCAGGGCTTCAAATTTCTTCCGTTCACCTTTGAAAGCATCTTAGAGGGAAGATTTGAAGAATGAAATGGCTTTGTTTACACCTGGTTCTCTCATAACTTGAGTGTTGTCCAAAAGTGTTTTTCTTTGTACTTGTTTGTGCGTGTGTGATTAAATCTCCAGGTTACTAGAAGAACTCTGGTAACGACTCATGACTTGGTGATCCTATAGTATCTCTATTTAATCTCTTATTTCCTTTAATATTATTTATATTGTCTTTTTCTTTATAAAACCTGCACTGCTGTTCTTTGTTGAAGGAATCCTCAACATAATATCGCCTCTGCTGAAGTTTAGACAGCGATAGAAATGTTCGTCCTTGTCTTGTCTCCTGTGTTTGTATTTGAAGTTTTTGTTATTGCAGAGAAAACTCACATAGAATTGCAAAACTCTGAATATGAGGGCAAATGCATATAACATAGTACTTAGTGTTTTCCGGTTGGGTATACATGAAAGAGATGAATTATCTGCACAGAGTTCATTTGTAGTATTTCATTACACATTTCTGTAGCCTTAGAAGGGATTTAAAGCAGCAAGCAGACATGTTCAGGTCATTTGTTAGAAATGGTTGACCTTGTCCATAACTATGTCAATAAACTGGGAAGAACTGGTTTAAGTTGTTTTTGTCATCACTTCTCAAGATGTCTGTATCCTGTTGCAACTGAATGTCTGCTTGGCAGACCACTTCCTGCTTTCAAAACCTTTTGAAATTGTGAAAGGCTGTTAAATAATAATAACACCACAAGTATAAGACTTTTTAAACTTGACTTATTTGACTGATTTGTTCCTTATAGTGATAAATGTTACAGTTTTCTACATGGCTTACAGTGTAAAGCATGTACTGTTCGTTAAAGCAGGGGCTTTGATAGTGACGGCAGCTTGGAAGTTCTGAATTCTTTCAAATACGACTCGGACCGAAAATTAAGCGTTTCCGTTCCACTGTTCCTCTGTCTGCTGACTGTTCCCTCTGTCTGCTGACTGTTCCCTCTGTCTGCTGACTGTTCCCTCTGTCGGCAGAGGGAACAGTAGAATGAACTGAACAGACCTGTGCTTTCCTCACAGTTGACCAGCAGATGGCACTGCAACTCAGATCGTTAACTGAAGCAGTTTGGATTCTTTCTCTGTTTTTCCTTCACACTGTTTGACCTTAAATTTTAAATCTAGTGCAAAATATACTTTTATTTAAAAAGATGAATTTAAGCCTGTGTTGGACAGTCAAGATATTTTTATTCTTAAGACACTTGAGATTTCGTATCTGGGCCAAAAGTGGCTCAATACAAGTAAATGATGCAGTTGGAACTTTACTCCACACTTTGTAAATCACCTTCAGACTCCTGAATGGGCTCTACTTCATTATAACCTAAAGGCTATGATTTTACTTGATCTGTTTTGGTGCCAAGCGTTTTTCCTTCCTCTCAACTTTCCATGGATGTGCTTGGATGCTTTACTCTGAATAGGTAGCTTGTTTAGCAATGGTCATTTGAAGCTTACCTTCCTTGTGTACGGTGTCAGTGACTTCCTGTTGGACATTTTTCTAGTGACTGCGAAGGTTATATGTTTATTGTTTTTATGTAATATTTCAATTTTGTGACCAACTACATGTGGGGTTTTAATGAGATGTATGTCATAATAATCAAATATGAGCAGAAATAAATGCATTAAAGTTTCATTATTTAATTTAACCACCAAATTAAAGTCACTTTACAAAGTTAGAAGTTTATATAAATAAACGAGATGTAGTTTTGAATGTCAAAAACCTGCTTTAGGTCTTGCTGTGTTGTTCCTCTTGGGGGCGCTGTTCAACATTTTCTGCTTTGGCAAAAATGTATCATCTTTGTCCCAGTGTTTTGGTTGTAATAAATAAAAAAAAATCTACCTTATATATGTAGTTTGTGTTTAAACCAGATCCTATTTATTTAAGTTACTTAAAGGGCGTACCTGTAGAGCAGGAAATAAATGTATAATTATGTATTGTTTAATGACTTTGACTCATTTTTACAGGAAATATTCAATTTAGCATCAAAGCAATTTGAGAAACTGAAATCCAGTGTATTACTGTTGCATTTCCTGCACAAAGCAGAAAATGCATTGTGCAGAATGGTTCTCTCAATGCACCAGCTGACAAATTCACCTGTGCACTGATTCAGTGTTAGAAATAAATAGGCTAATATGAATCTTGTTTATCTAAGTCCTTTACCACAAGGGATAATTTTGTTGTCATTTGTAACATAAAAGCAAAGTGGAAGTATTGGCCTTAAAAAGGGAAATAATTCAACCCATTAAAAGGTGAAAGTAGAGCAATCAAAAAGTCTAAAAAAAGGACTTCTTCCTGGCATCTTGGGAGGCCCGACTATTAAAATCTTCAGCCACTCTGGAATGAGGAACATCATGTTCTCCAGTCACATGTCTCCAGAGGGGGGCTTCTACTTTACAACAGCCCACGGTAATAATAGACCTCTGTATTTATCTTTTAGTTTTTTTCTTAGAAAAGCTCATTTAATTTGATAATTCCCAGTGTGTCATGTATAACTAGGGCTGGGAGCAAGCTTGCATAAGAGTTCCAGATATTCTGCCATGTTTATGCTTTCCGACACCTTAAATTTGCTTTTTAAAAGGAAAAATCCCATTAACAGCAAGCTTTATTATTGTGCCCGGTTATCTGACTGAGTGCACTTTAACTTGGCAGGACAAAGTACAGGAATGTCCAGTTTTTCTAAGTTTATAGTAGATTTTTCTTTGGGATAGTGGATGCTTTTGCAGCTGTTCTGTGGCTTTGAGCTTTGGTGCTTTCTTGATCTAGGTGCAGAAGATAGAGGAGTCTGTGCTTTTCAATAAGCCAGAAGCAGCTACACCAACATGCTGAGTCTCTCCAGCCAGGAAAGTCCAAAAATACTGAATGTCCCATGAACCGGCTATATTTTTGCTGGCATGATTTGAACATCTTGCACTTCATTGTGCGATGACAGATTGTCTTTCTATGGTAAACTGAAGTTGTGAAATAATGTTCCTCCTTCTTCATAGTTTTACCCACAATTATTTTTCTCTCTATATGGTCAGAAAACTATATATCTAAGAGCAGATATATAGCTTCTGCCTCTGTTGTTATGGAAGTAAATGTGTCTCAAATGCAAAACATGCAATTTACAGGAACCACCACTTCTAAATATTATGCATTTATCAAAATTTTACATAAGAGACCACCTGAATTTGAACTGCATTATTCTTTCAAGGCTTAATTCCTTGGCAGATGTTTTGCTCAGTTTTAAAAGGTTGTAGTGAATTTTCAATGTCTGGAAGAAGTATTGGTTGGAAAATGGAAACTAGAATATATAAAAATATTTATTTTCACTTTCCAATTCCCAATTTTCCATGAAATAGCATTCTACATTTCTCAAATTAAGCTGCTTGTTTGGATTATCCAATGAAGCTTTGAGTTTATCACATTAAGTCAACAGTATTATGATGTAAAGGCACAAACTAAGCATAATATCTTAGATAATTTAACTGAAAACCAGATAGTTACCATTAAAAAAATACATGACTTGAACGTATGCTTGCTCTTACAGTGATGGTGGAAATACAACCTTAAGCTTTTTGACAGACACTTGAAGGTGTTGTGCAAAAACTGATTGATTTTTAGACGAATTCATAACTTAATCTACCTCCCACAATTTATGTGGGAGCACAATTATGCGCTGCATTGTGTCCATCTACCACATGAAATCACAATGAGCGCAACTAAACAAGATAATTTGTTTAGTTGCACAACCTTTGCCACGGATAAAGGTTGCTCATAATGAAGCAGCTATTCAGTTGCTGGAAAATGATTTGAGACAGTTCTGACTCTGGATCTCACACACCCTGCAGATGGGTTGTTTGAACTTCTGCCCTCTGGAAAAGCGCATGGCAGAACAATCAGATTTAGCAGGAGCTTCTTCCTCCAGGCCATCAGGATACCAAACTCTTACATAACTGTGTGTTCTGTACACACGTTTCATACGCAGACTGTCTAATCACATGGGTTTAAATGTCTCAACCTCACATGGATTGTTAACTATTTTGATAATGCTACTATTTTCTGCTAGGTCTTTGCTCTCTTGTATACTTAATTTATTCACTGGTTTTACATCTACAGTAGTTTGCATCGTTTGTAATGTGGGCAATGCCTGCATGTTGTTTTTGCATGCGCTGTCTTTTACATCTTTTCCACTGAGCATGGAGAAAATTTTGTTCAGCTACGTGTATAGCATAAATGACAGTAAAGTTCACATATCTTATCTCATTTAGCAGTTAAAAATTTTGTGTCATCCAAGCAACTGGGTGTGGTGCTCTCAGGACAGTAAATTGACTCATGAGCAGTAAAATACTTAAGTTGATCAAAATTTGCCAGTAAATACTAAATTTTTTATCTGATAAAGTCCCAGTAGCAGCGACTATGGAGAAGATCCAGTTTGTGTGATATTTGTTATGTTCTAAGGGAAGTAAGTGATTATCCAGTTTCAACAAAAAAAAATATTGTTGTTTGACGTTTAAGCTTCATGTGTAATGGCAATAAGGTCCAATGTCTCACAAGGAGGTACTTGAGTTTGTGTGTTTTCACTCCAAACTCCCTAATCCACAATAGTAGTAAACACAGAGAGTGCTGTGGGTTGGGAAAGATCCCCAGAGATCCAAACCGCTAGACTTCGATTCCTGTCAGCCTGAAACCTGGACCACCTCCCAGGTTTGTTACCACTTCAGGTTCACCATGGGTCCTTGGTCAAGTGTGTTTATAGCTAGAGTTTAAGCAAATATGAGTGGGCATGCATGTGGACTGGAACCAGTGGGTCCAAACAGTGGAACTGGCGATGGTATTATTCCTTTCTCTTAGCTGAAAACGAGCCTCCAGTGGAATAACTTAGCGGCATCTCTTGTTATGGTCTGGATTCTTTCCCAGCTTTTGAGTTGAAAAGTTCTCCTGGAGCTGAGCGGGCCAGTTGTGTGGTTTTCTGGATGTCTTGTGCCCCCATGCTGAGGGAGCACTGCCACCGCAGATGGGAGGGAAAACAGGCAGTAGCATCAGGTTAAGCTGCTCTTTGTTTAGAATACTTTTATTGTTCTTCATCCGTTTCCAAGGAGGGAATAAATAGCTCTGCCTAACCAAAGGATTCTGCTTCCCTCGCTGCCATAAGAAAGGCATTACCAGCGGTTACGGGTGTTCAGCCCCGGGTGGAAAGTTTCTTCTTCCCCCGTCTGTTTTTCTTTTGCAAGCACTTCTGGGACACGTGAAAGAAATGTTCTCTCTTCTTTGTCCTGGTCAACTTCCTCAAATTAAACATAAAGAATTTGGAGCGGGGTCTGATTCGTCACAGTCGGCCTCGTTTCTGTGAAATACTTGAAGAATTTGAGTCCAGCACATAATGTCAGGTGACGTTCGGGTTGTTTTTCTATGTTTTGATCCCAAGATTCTGCTGGCAACCATATCAACTCATACCTCTTAACCCTAACAGCACACAATCACTGGACTTTCTCTAAACCTAAAGAGTATTTATGTGAGAAATCTAGTGAATTCTGATAATCTGAACAGAAATAACGCAAAACCTGCCTTGTTGCTGCTTTTTGAAGCAGATAAG